AGCTTTCCAAACGGGAGCGTGTCACCAGGGGAGAGCTAGAGCAGAAGCTGGGAAATGAAAGGCAAAGGGAGGGAGTCAAGGACCTGTCATTTTCTTTACTTAGACTGCTCTCCCTTTCCCTAGGGGGAAAAGGAAATATATTTACAGCAAAGAGAGCCCTGAACTTGTCTTTGGAAGCAGCTGAGGGATTTGAGTCTCCTCTGTAGCCAGGCTGGAAGAGAAGAAACTAAGGGAGCGAACGGGAGGTGATGCAGCCATCAGAGAGGAAAGCAGGTCGAGGTGCTGGGGCCAGAGGGAATGGCTGGGAAGAGGACAGGCTGTAGGGGTCCCTGTAAGAGAAAGGCAGAGCTGCGCTGCCCAGCCCTAAAGCGCCGCCTGTCTGAACAAAGCCCTGTCAGAAAGAAGTTGTTGTTAGTTGTCATTAAGCTGATTCCGACTCACAGTGACCCCATGTGTGCAGAGTAGAACTGTGCTCCATAAGGTTTTCAAGGGCTGTGACATTTTGGAAGTGGATCACCAGGCCTGTCTTCTGAGATGCCTCTGGGTGGGTCTGAACCACCAGTCAGCTAGCAGTTGAGTGCTTAACCGTTTACACCACCTAGGGACTCCTCAGAAAGGGACAGACGAGCTGAAAGACGCCTAAGACAGTAACATGAAGTTCTTAGAAGATCAGGCTCTTCCACGGTGCAGCAGGCAGGGGGAGGGGTGGCCAGGAGACCCAGGAGCATCAGAATTGGGTAGGGGTGTGCAGGACAGAGAAGGCCTGGGAACACTGCTACCCTGACACACCACCACTGCGCCAGGCAGAGCCAGAATGGCTCCCTGGCATGAGGAAGCCTGACATTTCTAGGAAGAACAATCTGTACTGCGAAAATAAGGGGCCAGAAAATACCACACATCATCCATGTGAGGCAGCCTTTAAACAGGAACCCTCTGCAGTACCACCCAGAATCCACACCTGGAGACGGCCAGGCCCCAGGTCCATCTTACAACCACTGGACTCAAGAACAGCTTTATTGGTGGCTTGAGGGTGCCGATGTCTCTTTCTGACCCTTACTCCCATGCAGTACCAGTTGGCAAGGCCTTCTCCAGGTAGGAAAACCAATCACATGGATCAGGGGGGCCCCTGACAGAAGTCAGACTTCCACTAGAAACGTTCCAAGTCCTGATTTCAAAGTCAACAAAGACAGGGTCAGAGGCTGGGCTCCTGCTGGGAATAAGCATCTGTCCGTGGGGGCACAAGAGGCTGGCTGAGTTGTTCAGGAATGTCTGTGGGGCCGTCCAGACAAGGAAGGGGCCAGAAGGCTACAGGAAGTTTCCCTGAGACAAGCTCCCAAATGTGTCCACACTTGGGCAGGGTGCGGAACCTGGCTCTGAGATTACATTTTGAATATGATGGGGTCAGGATGCCAAGCGGGACTGGGAGCAGGGAGCCCTGCCCACTGGCCCTCGCCACCCTGAGGCTCCACAGCCCGGGCCCCGTGGTGCCACCACAGCCTCTGTCACCCAGCCAGCTCCACACTGCTGGGGCATCCCAAGGTTCTTTCTGGATACAGGTAGCACATCACCACCGCTGAAGGGTTGACGACCACTGTGAAGTTGGCGTCACCGCGGAGGCCGCTGATGATTTCACCCATGTAGACGTTCTGGGCCTGCAATGGGGAGGGACATCACCAGTGCCACTGTGAGAACGACTGTGTAGAGACTCTCTCAGAGGACACAGAAGCCTGGACCGTGGCCTGTCTGTGCTAGGTCTCCCATTCTGCCCTACAACAGTGGGAGCCTTACATTTCCCATCACACCCCCACCAGCAATGCTGAAGAGGCCCAAGCAGAGGCAGTGAGAAAGGCCCAGCCCACAGAGGATCCTGAGGAGCATGCTAACAAGGGCTGCCCGATGAGGGATGAGCACGGCCTCAGAGGCTAACAGGACTCATGTTTATACACGGAAGGTCTGCTTGTGTGGCTTGGAAACAGCACTGCAGAGAACATTACCAGCTACAGCCCTCCCGTGGCCAGCCTCCAGAGGATGGCCAAGGCCCCCAGCTCAGGGGAGGCCATGTGTGAGCAAAGACTGCCCTCAGAACCCAAATCCCCACCAGGGAAACCGAAGCCCAGAGATGGGTGGGGGCCTCAGGCGGCAGCGGCCCTCACCTCATACACACTGGAGCTGGTGAAGTTCAGCTTGGCAAGGGAGGAGTGGTAGCGATAAGGCATATCTGTCCTGCGGCTGAAGAAGACGAGGGCGCTGGCCCCACTGGACAGTGGCCTCATGAACACCTCAATGTCGGATTTTTCCTGCATGCAGAAGATGGCTACTGACTGGGGCCCCTGCTCAGGTAGATCCTGAAGTGCCCCCCAGGCCTCCCTGGAGCTCTGGGTTCCCCTACCCATACTGTGTGTCACAGAGGCTTATGGAGGTCACCACAGCCCTCCAGCACCCCAGCTTCTCTAAACCTGCCTTCCTGCCTTCCCTGAGGCAGCAGATGCTCACCAGCACCTACTCTGTGCCAGGCCCACGCTAGGAGAGAGACAAATGCCGCACGAGGTCCTGCCTCGAAGAGCTCGTAGGGTAAACAAGAGCGACAGACGCAGAAGCGGTGAAGTATGGAGAGTACCGCATGTGAGTGCGGGCCCCGAGATGGCTGTGGGTGCCGGGCGGGGAGGCCATCCAGTGGGCACAGTGCACTCTGCCTCAAGGGGCTGGGGAGGGTGCACAGTGGAGCTGGCCTTGAGGATGAACTCCATCGTCCAGAAGGCTCACCAGGCCCAGCTGCACCACCAGTTCTACAGGGGCCTTCTAGAGTTCTACAGTCTGGGCATTTCTTTTCAGGAGAGAGGCAGGGATTTGTGCAAGGAGCCCAGGCTTGGAGGCGACACTGCTGTACACCCAGCTGTGCGGCCTTGGGTAAGAGTTACTGCGACTCGCTACGTCTGTTTCCTCATTAGTAAAACGGAAGAGTATCCACCTTGCTAAGAAAACGTATCTAGGATGCCCGGCACATAGTTGGTGCTCAGTAAACAGTCGAGGCTAGTAGTAGTAGGAGTAATACTAGTAGTAGTAGTAGTAGTACTAGCAGTAGTATTCCTTGACTAGAAGAACTCCTTGCGACCTGGCAGAAAGACCAAGTTCTGTATGACATCACAGTGAGGGGCCTCAGAGGCCCATCTCCTATGCAACCTCAGGCCACCAAGGCCCAGTTCCTCAGCCCTCCTGTCCCCTCCCCTCTCCCAGTACCTTGAGAATCCTGCGTCCCTGGATGCCTAAGGGATCCTGGTAGATTTTGATCACGAGAGGATTTTGCAGAATATCCATGTTCTTGGAGGAGATGGTCCGCAGCTCCGTGGACATGAACAGGAGGACCACCAGCACTGTTCACAGGGCCTTCTGGGACTGGGCTTCCTCAAAGCTGAGGCCAAAGTTTCCAATGAGCAGCTGTTGGTCAGAGAGGGGCTGTCAGCTCTGCCCTCTGCAGGGAGGCCAGCATGGGGCCGGCCCCAACCAGAGGCCAAAGGAACAAAAGACAGGGTAGGGAAGGAAGGCTGGGGTGGGGTGTGGGGGAGGACTGCTGGGGTGGGGACCCAGCTCAGTGAACACCGAAGGCCACAGTGTGGCCTTCGGAGAGCTGAGTTATTTTGCATCTGAGCCTTTTTTTTTTAAACCAACAAAATGGGGGTGATGATAAATTATGCTCTGGGGTGTCACATGATATTCAGATGATCCAATCGGATCCTGTGGCCAAAAGCATTTATACACTGGGACGCAGGACAAGTGGAGAAATCCACTCCAGGCGTAGAGAGTCGCTTCCACGCAACTAGTCGCCCACCTTCCCTAGCTACAGCTAACTGGAAAGGGGGGACCATCCCATAAGTGGGACATAAACAATGACCGCTAATGCAACACCGTTATGTGCTCTGCTGTTCTTAGTTGCCGTTCAATTGAGGTAGAAACGGGCAGTCCAGAAGAGGGGGTTAGCGAAGGGAGAAACAGCAGGGCTTAGGGAAGAGTTCCCAAGGAATATTAGCGGCAGGTAGAACTACAGAAGGGCCCCTGGTGGCGCAATGTTAAGTGCTCGGCTGCCAATCAAAAGGTGAGCGATTCCAACCCACCCGCCGCTTCGCAGAAAAAAGATGTGGCAGTCGGCTTCTGTAAAGATTTACAGCTTCGGAAACCCTATGAAGCAGTTCTACTCTGCCTTATACGGTCGCTATGAGTTGGAACCGACTTACCAACACACAACAGAGCTAGGGACCACAGCCTGGGAGACTGGACGGGGTGGGGGGATTGGGGAGGCCGTCTTGCCTGAAAGACTGGAAAAGGCACGCTGACTTTACTGGATGACCTCAGAAAAGTCACTTCCCTTGTCTGGTTCAGTTTCTTTTCCTGTGGGAGGTGAGGGGGCTTCTACAGCCACCGTGGTTATGTAATCTAATGAGCATCTGCAAACGTTTTCTGGCATTGTAGACTTGACTTTGAGTTCCAAATCCACGACGGGCCGGCTCTAGGTCTGTCACTTCGCCTCCTGGGGCCTCACCTGCCTCACCTACACAGCGGGTATGTCACTGACCGTTCCTGCCTTTCCTCCCAAGGGCTAAAAGAGGCCAAAGCGCCGAGGGCGCCTAGAAGCGCTGCACGGATGCTGAGCACGGCTGGCCTGACCGCGGCGCTACTGCAGGTCGAGTCCAGCATAAACCAAGGGGTACTTCCTTCCCTGAAGCACCCGGAGTCGCCCCTACCGAAGCTGGTGACCTCAGCTCCGCCTGTGAGCAATCCGAGGCCCAGGGCCTGCGACCTTGGGCAGTTGCCTTCAGGGGCCCGAGTGACCGCTGCCTCTCCACCAGCGTTTGGCACCTCCCGATACCAGGCACGGTAGAGCTCGCGCACCCTCCGCTTGCCTCGTTCATCTCTCAGCTGAAGATGGGTTTCACGGAGTTACTGGCCACCACAGCAGCCCTGCGAACGCCGCTCGCCCCAATCTTGCTAAAAAAAACTACCTCCCTCACCCCGCCCCTTTGCGACCCGGATTGCGGAAGAAGGTCAATAATATTTTCTCATTGGCTAAAATTGATCGTCTCGCCCCTAAATTCACGGGTGGGCGGGAGGACGGCTCTGGGGCTCTTTGATTGGCTAGAAAGCACCTCTCTTGGCGGGAGAACCGCGGGTAGGGGCTGCGCATGCTCACCCGCGGAAACGAAGGTTCTACCGTTGTACGTCCTAACCGTTGCGCGAGAGGCTGACGCCGCCGCCAGGGGGCGCACAGGCTCTAGGCAAGCTGCTGGTCGGAGGGTGGCGGCGCCCTGGGCCGCGAGCTTTTGCGCGGCCTTCGCTTCGTTCGGCCGACGAACTTCCCGCGGCCCTCCCTTTGGGAGCGGCTGGGGACGCGCAGTCCTCAAAGAGCTTCCTAGGTCACCTCCCCAGGCCGCAGGTGGTGGGCCCCGAGGCGGCAACTGAGGCAAATAATGGCGCCTCGGCCACCACCCAGTTATCGCAGCCGCTGCGCGGCCTTTCTGTCAGTTATTCTTAGTTTTTATAAACCAACTCTTTGGTAGCGCGGAACAGATGTCCAAGCGCTTTCCGGGCCTATAGCTCCTTTGTTCTTCTCCACAGTCCCGGGAGGTCGGTTGTGTCATCCGCCCCATTTTAGGTAAGGAAATTTTAATCCTAAACCCTGGATCTCTGTGAAAGGCAGTCCACAATTTTGGAGGTGGAAGAACCTTAGATCGTCCGATCCAGGTGTTCCTCTTTTTCCTGGCTTTTTTCTACAGAAGTTCCCACCAAACCTCACGGGGAGCCTGGAAATGTAATGGAAGAAAGAACAGCTATCAACATGTCAGGTGTGGACTGTATATTTTACACAGTTACTTTTAATCTCATAGGTCAGTAGGTACGGTTATCATCCTCATTTTGCAGGTGAGGAAACTGAAATGCAGAAACTAGGTCACTTGCCACATTAGTCCACTCCGCTTGCAAGGGTCATAGGCTTTTTTGTGAAAATGCAGTTGTCAGGCTCCTGGTGAGCGCCGCCAGGGAAAAGGCCAGGGGGCAGTGTGAGATACGGCTGTGCATGTAGTCCAAGGTAGAAACTCAGATGCCTTTCCCTCATGTGCTTTCCAAATGTGTTTTTAAAAAAAATTATTAATAATAAAATGTGTTTCTACATTTAAATGAGTTAGACAAAAGAAAGCATGTAACGTATATAAATTATAAAGCGTAATAATAAAGTGGAAACTTTTGAACCCCAGTACCCAACTTAAGGAGTTGTAGTCCAGTTCTTAGTATAAAGTTTACTATGCTCCTGGTAGCCACTGTTTAACTTCCTTCGGCACATTAACTTGTACCTAAGTACAAAGCCTCACTGCACACCTGTGAGACAAGTACTGTTATTATACTCATTTTACAGATAAGAAAACTGAGGCACAGGAGCTAAGTTACTTGACAGAGCTGGGTTGAGACCCAGGCAGCTGTCTCCAGAGTCTGTGCTCTGCCTCACAGCACCTATACCATGGTATCTATGTACTTCTAACCTGGTCCATCACCTTGCCAACCCCAGAGGTAACCACTACCTTGAATTTAGTGTTTAACATTCCTTTGCTTTACAAGAAAAATGATCTCTAAAACAACCCACAAACTGGGAGAAAATATTTGCAAATCGCATACCTGATAAGGGACTTGTATCTAGAATACATAACTCTTACAACTCAATAATAGAAAGACAAATAGTAGTGTTGAAAAATGAGTAAATGATTTGAGTGGACATTCCTCCAAAGAAGATAAACAAATGGTCAATAAATACAAGAAAAGATGCTCAACATCATTAGTCGTTGTTGTTAGGTGCCGTTGAGTCTGTTCCGACTCATAGTAACCCTGTGTACAACACAACAAAACACTGCCCGGTCCTGTGCCATCCTCACAATCGTTATACTTGAACCCATTGTTGTAGTCACTGTGTGAATCCATCTTGTTGAGGGTCTTCCTCTTTTTCACTGGCTCTCTACCAAGCATGCTGTCCTTCTCCAGGGACTGATCCCTCCTCATAACATGTCCAAAGTATGTGAGACGTAGTCTCGTCATCCTTGCTTCCAAGGAGTATTCTGGTTGTACTTCTTCCAAGACAGACTTGTTCGTCCTTTTCGCAGTCCGTGGTATATTCAGTGTTTTGGCCAACACCACAATTCAAAGGTGTCAGTTCTTCTTCGGTCTACCTTATTCATCATCCAGCTTTCCCATGCTTATGAAGCCATTGAAAACACCAAGGCTTGGGTCAGATGCACCTTAGTCTTGAAGGTGACATCTTCGCTTTTTAACACTTTAAAGAGGTCTTTTGCAGCAGATTTGCCCAATGCAGTGCTCATTTGATTTCTTGACTGCTGCTTCCATGGATGTTAATTGTGGATCCAAGTAAAATGAAATCCTTGACAATTTCAAACTTTTCTCTCTTTATCATGGTGTTGCTTATTGGTCCAGGTGTCAGGAAACCTTATGGGGCAGTTCTACTCTGTCATATAGGGTCACTGTGAGTCGGAATCATCTCGATGACACACAAGAACAAATGGCTAGTGATGTTGAACATCTTTTCATGTGCTTATTTGGTATGTCTGTATTTTCCTCTGTGGAATGTCTCTTCATGTCTTTTGCCCATTTTTTAACTTTCTTTTGCCCATTTGCTAATTTTATTATTTGCTTTTACTATTCCGTTCTGAGAGGTATATATATATATACAGACAGACAGACAGACACACACGTTAACTTTTTGCTTAACTCTAATCCTGAAGATTTTCTATGATTTTTTTCTAAAAATTTTATAGTTTTATACTTAAGTTTGTGATCCATTTTGAGTTTATTTTTGTATAAGGTGTGAGACTTAGGTAGAGGTTCATTTTTTATCTGTGCTATCCAATTGCTCCACACCATTTGTTGAAAAGGCTATCTTTCCTCCATTGAACTGCTTTTGTACCTTTGTAAAAAAATCAGTTGGAGACATATATCTATTTATATCTATATCTATGTATGTGTGTGTGTGCATGTATGTATGTATGTGTGTGTCTATTTCTGGGCTCTCTATTCTGTTCCGTTAATATATGTGTCTATCCCTCTGCCAGTACCAGTCTTGATTACTTTAGCTGTGTAATAAGTCTTGAAACTGGGTAGACTTATTCCTCCCACTTTATTTTTCTTCTTCAAAATTGTAGCTATTCTAGTTCCTTTTTCTTTCCATATAAGTTTTAGAATAATTTTGTCTATATCTATAAAAAATCTTGCCAGGTCTTTGATAGGATTTGCATTAAGCCTATGTATCAGTTTCGGGAGAATTGATGGCTTTACTACATTGAGTCTTCAGTCCATGAACACAGGTATATCTCTCCATTTTTCACATCTTTATTCTTTTCATCAGTGTTTTGTGGTTTACAGCA